ACTGTATCAACTGAGCCATCTCCTGCTCTATTCCCAGTCACTATCAACTGAGCCTTCTCCTCGGTTCTATTCCCAGTCACTGTATCAACTGAGCCATCTCCTGACTCTATTCCCAGTCACTGTATCAACTGAGCCGTCTCCCGGCCCTATTCCCAAACCCATTCCCTTTTTGAGACAGGGTTTCTCTGTGTAGCCAGAGACTGTCCTGGAACTCACTCTGTAGACCAGGTTGGCCTGGAACTCAGAGATCCACCTGCCCCTGCCTCCCGAGTGTTGGGATTTAAGCTTCGATTTAAGGTGTACGCCACCACCGCCCAGCTTCTCCTCCCTCCTCCCCTTTTTTTAAAGGCAAGAGTCTCATGTACCCAGACTGGCTTCAAACCCACTGTGTAGCAGAGGATGATTTTAACCCTCATTATCTTCTTGCTTCCATCTCAAGTGCTAGGATTACAAATGGGCTACCATTCTGGCCTTACAAAGTGCTGGGGATTAAACCCGGGGCTCCACACATGCTGGGGAAACATTCTACCAGCTGAGCTACACCCTCTGTCCAGAGACACACTTAGTCCTGGGTTCCGAGTACTCATGACACTGACTAAGAGGAGCACTGCCTCTTTTACAGTCCCTCGGAGTAAGAAGGCATGCCTCACACCACAAAGGAAGGACAGCCTAGAGACACATACCCAGTGCTCTACAGCACCCCAGACTGACGTACCTCTTGGGTAGAATGCCGCTCTGGAAACCCACCCCAAGACCCGCTTCCCCAGGACCTCCACACCGCAGTGCTGGTGTGCTGGGGAGAAGCAGCTTTTCATGCCCACCCCTCGCCCTCCTGGAGGGAGGACTCACCACCGAGAGCGGGAAGCACACCAGCACCATGGCCGCATGGTGGAGTACCATGAGGAACTCCTTGTGCAGGTAGCCACGCACCACGGCCCAGGTGCCGCCCAGGGCTCTGGACGTCCCGTCTTCCCCTCCATGACCTTTAACCTGGTGCTTGTGCCAGTGGCAGAGGAACATGGCGTAGATGTCATAGATGAAGTAGGGCACTGCAAACTGCGTGTAGGCCGAAGACAGCCAGTGCCTGTAGGGAAGGGAGAGAGGAGGAGCATGTGGACAGGTCCTAGGCAGCAGCCTCCAGGCCAGGATGCTCCAGGGGGAACGAGTTAGGTCCCAAGGGGGCTCTCATAACAACCCCGAGTCTTGAGTTTTGGATGCCAGAATTGAAAGGGTGGCGTGTGAGGAACCACCCAAGGCCAGGCAGTCTCACAGCTCCTGAGGTTCGGGCTGGATTCAAGCCAGGCAAACCTCACAACCTACCGTGTCTCTGTCTCTTTCTCCCTAAGTGTCTCTACCTCTCACCCCTCCCTCCCTCCATCCCTCCAACCACCCCTCCATCCACCCTTGTAGGGAGAGGAGACCAGGACGCTGCAGATCGTGAACAGCGATGGAAGCGAGCTGCAGAGAGGTACAAAGATACCCCCCACCCCGTTAGGCACCAGTGAGGAACTTCCAAGCACTGTAGAGGTCCTGCGACCCAGCACCAGCTGACGTGACAGCTCATCACATGCCAGGCACTACGCTGCTACTTAACTCTTTCCACGGCAGCAACTTGTGCCCTTCTCCTGAATCCCTGTGTCACGGAGAGGCTAAGCAGCGCGGCCAAGGAATAACCACAGAAGTCCTTGCCATCAGCCCCACTGTCTCAAGAAGGGCCGAGAGGGGCTGGAGCCGGTCCCTAGTGAAGCGGAGGGGCTGTCGCTGCAGCTGGCCTTCGCTCTGAGGTGGTGCGTCTATTGTTAGCTCAGGTATGGCCAGCAGGAAAGAGAAAATGCTGAGCAAAGATGCCAAGAGCAGAGAAAGTTCTGCAGACTTTGGAGTAAACAAATACGGGAAGCACCAGAACACGCCACGCTGCGCTTTTTTCCCTGAGTCAGCGGAGAGGCTTTCTCAAGTCCAGAAATCCTCCTCAGGCAGGCCTGAGGTGGGGGTGGGAGACAGAAAAGCCCAGAAGGAGCAGAGCAAAAGCCAACCCAGCTGGCCACCATACACCAGTGCGGGTGCTGGGGAGGGGAGGGGGGAGAACTGGGGGTACAGGCCAGCTGGGGATGGGGTGAGCACAGAGACAGCAGTAGCTTTCCCAGGCTGACTGGCCTGGAAGGGGAGAAGCAGCCCACTCTCAAAGGGATCCACATTGCAGTGGTGTAAGGGAATGTGGCCCGGACTCAGAAAGGGGGGACAGGGGAGAGGCACTGGCTAGAGACAGAGAAAAGAAACACAGACAGGACCCATCCACCCCCAAAGAAGGCTCAGAACCTGCCTAGGGATTTGGTGGAAGAATGGTACCCATAGGACTCTGGGCCATGGGGGAACCAGAGGGACTCAGGCCCCTGGGCTGACAAGTGAGGTATCAGATCCCATCTCTACTCTGTCAGCAATTAGGTGCTCAGAAGCAAGAACAGCTGCTGCCCCCAGATTAGCCCTGACCCTCCCACCTTACCTGAGGATTAAATGGGGAACCGGGTCAAGACCGGACTAGGGGGTGGGAATCCAAGAGCCAAAAGGTGGCCTCAAGGTAAAAGGAGTTAAGGAGGAAACGCCTGGTGCCCAGGCTCCTTTTGGACCCTCTGACTGGGGAAGGGGTTGGGAGAGGGCAACGGGCAGTCAGGTCATGGGAAGGATCCTGAGACTTAAACCCCTGCCTCACGGAGTCAAGAACCATCCTAGGCACTTAACACACTCAATCCCTCCATGTAGAAGCCCTTCGGGGGAAGGATGTGACCTCACTCTAGGTCCTAGGAACTCACTCGTGGGAAAAGAAGAGACAAATAGACACCAGAAGGCAGATGGAGACCAGGGTCACCCAGACAATGTCCCCTGAGGCTCAAAGGACACCACACAAGGGCAGGAGAGCCCGAGGCTGTGAGTGAGGGGTGCCCTGAGCACACAGCAAACTTGGAGCAGCCCCGAGCCAGCTAAACACGAGCTGGTCAGCACCACGGACAGGGCCGGGTTCCCTCCCTCCGCCTCCTGCCCCACCTCTCCAGCCTGGGCCTTTTTGGCAAGCGCCAAACACTGCAGTTGCTGCCAGTGCCAAACTTTGGCCTCTTCACCCCCAACCCCCACTGCTTGACCCTCAGTGGCCTTGTTTGTGGTCTCTTCTCCCCTGGGCAAAGAGCTGAGGCTAGACACTTGGATTCCAGAAGGAGTTGGGAGGTGAGCCTGGCATGGTGAGGAGACACTCAGCAAGGAACTGGATGGAAACAGAGTCTGAGGGATGCAAGAGTTGGTTGACATTCAGAACCTATGCCAAGAGGCCAGGAAGCTGACCGGGAATCCCTCTGAGGCGTTTCTTTGAGGCCCACCCCTGCTCCCTTGCTTCTGACCTTTAGGACAGGGTAGGATAAATTTATCCCTGGTCTTGAGTTGCAGTCAATCACATGAACTTGCTTGGGTCCAAGTCCAGGGACCACTACAGGTCTGGGGGATCCTGGGTCCCACACACCCACTGCTGGGGCTGGGCAGAGATGGCCCTGGGGCACTTACTGGTCATCAATGATGTGCTTGCAGGAGGTGGAGACTATGTAGCCAGCTGTGGAGGCCATGATGGCTTGGACAGAGGACACCAGCCTAGGGAGAGAGAGGAAGGAGTGGACATTCGGTGTGGACTTCCATTTCTCCTCTTCCTACTACAGTCCCTGTGCTTTGGATCCTGTACTCCTGAGGACCATTCCTCACCAGCTTCCGCCCAGGCCATGCTTCCCCAATGCCGCTCTCAGCTAAGCCATGCTTAGCTGAGGTTCCCTCAGTTCCCGCCTCTCCAAGCCGCCTTCCTTCCCAGTGGGTGACAGTTGAGTCTCCTTCCCTCCAGGACTCCAGGGAGATCATTCTGAGGTGAGCCAGTCCTGGGAATGGCTGACCGTGAGGTCTTTCTCTGGGGAGGGAGGAAAGGCACCCACGAGGGCCAAGGGAGTCCCCAGTCGCTCCTGCACCACTTGGCTACCCAGTCACTATGCTGCTCACACCTACAGTAACTGGCCCCATGGTGACCCCAAGCTCCCCCCACCACTTTCCCACTGTTTTCTTGGTTGTCACCACGGACCTCTTCCTGATGGCCCTATTCTAGGGATGCACAAGTCTCACCATCTACTTCTCTGGGCCCTGACGTGCATGCAAACACTGGCCCTGAAAACCACGCTCTCGCCCCTGACTTGTTCCCTGGCATCTTGTGGGACTGTTTGGTCACATGCTGGCCTGCTCCGAGAGGGTGGGAGGGTGACAGGGGGAAGCAAGAAGATCAAGCCGAGTAGGTAGACCAGATGGCTGGGTTTCAATGAGGTCTCCGGGGAAGGTGAGGTCCAAGGAGGGAAGGAAGCTTGCTTATCTACCTCCCCACTGCTACAGAGCCCAGGGAGGTGCTGGGGCCCCTTCCTCATGAAGCCTGTTGGGGGGAGAGGGACTGAACTCAGGGAAGGCATGCCATTTACCTGGCGGAGACAATGACCGCGTCGGCCTCCTCCCAGCGCAGCTGGGGCAGCCTCTGGAGCGTGTTCTTGGACAGGAGGAAGAGTCCGGGGAACACCACCCCCCCAGCCACCATTGGGGTGAGCATGGTGACTTGGACCCAGGCAGGGAGACCGGAGGGGCCGGAAAGGACAAGAAGGCCAAAGTGAGGGAGTTAGAGGTGGGGAAGGGATTGCCAAGCCAGAGGAGGAGAGAGAGAGAGAGAGAGAGGGAAGGGGAGGCACAAAGGGGCCAGGGCGGGGACAGGATGGGACAAGGGGACCAGTCCAGGGCAAGGGAGAAAGGGACTTCAGTGAGGCTGGAGACACAGAAAGAAAGCCAGCTAGGCAGAGTGGGGGGAAGGGGGGGAGAACGTCAGTGAGAGGGATGGGAAGGATGACCAAGGAAGGACCTGGTGTGAGAGACCAAGGAGAGGGGACAGGAGGAGGAGGAGGAAGAGGATGCAGTTGGGGGAGGGGAAGGAGAGCCGCGGCAGGTGGGGGGGGGCCTTACGTGGAGAGGCTGGGAGGGCCCGAGGAGGCGGGGTGGGGGACGGTGGTGCCAGCCCCGAAAAAAGGGAGGGAGGGAAGGGCCGAGGCGAGCCGAGGAGCAGCTGGGCAAGTGGTCACCAGCCGCCACTGCTCCCCTGCCACCGCAGGCCACCACCGCCTCCTCTTGCTGCGGCCACAGCCCCGATGCCCTGTGCAGACGCTGCACATGGCATTATAGAGTGGGTGCCCAGCCCCCTGCCCCCTCTGTGAGGAGGGGGAGGGGGAGGGGAAGCCGCCAGCTTAGGGAGGGGGGGAGGAGGGGAGGGAGAGGATGGCACCGACCAGACACCAAGAAACCGGACCTGCAGCAGGCTTTGTCTCCCATGCAGCTCTGAGCCACAGCAGCGGCTGCGACAGAGATGGGGGGGGGGGGACGGGGAAAGAGGGAGGGGGAGGCCCTTAAAGAGACAGCAGCTGCAGCGCAGGGGGCTGCTGGGGACAAGGGCTAGGGGAGGGACCGGCTCTTCTCTTGGGGGTTCTGAGCCCCCTTTCCCCGTCAGCACTTTGAAAATGTCTGGTGTTTCCTTCTGCCAATGCTTATAAACATCAACGTGTGTCCCTCAGTGGCCTGCAGGGACCTCAGCTATGGGGTGCCCACTCCAGCTGAGAGGGTTCCCTGGGGAAGGCAGCCCCAGTGGGTGGTGCCTCTCGCTTTCCCTGAAGGGAACACAGAAGGTGTGGATAGGAACAAAACCGTCCCACAGTGTCCTTCAGACCCAGAGGGCCCCCCCTTCACCAGTCAGGAGGAGTGGAAACTAACAGGCACCAGGCACCTCCCGTGAGCGCCACCTCACTCTGCCCTGTGTCCTTGCCTCACCGTGTGACAGCACCAGGCAGCGATGCCCGTCCACTTTCTAGAGGTCAGGAAATGGTCCCGAGGTGTGAGCCGACATCCCCAGGGTCAGAAAGTTAAGGAATGATGTTAAGAGGGCTAAGGGGGAAGAAGAGGATCGATGTCAGAGCCCCTGGCAGCGTGGGCTTGAGCACTGGCCCTGGGCTAAAAGGCGCAGTGGCTCATCGTGGACAGGACACTCAGGAGATGGGAAGCAGGAGGGTCCCACGGGGAAGCCAGCTTGGGCTACAGAGGAAGTGCCAGCCTCGGGGACAGCGGAAGGAGAGTGAGCCTCAAGAAGAGGATGCTGCCTTGAAAACCCACGTGGCCCCACAGAAGCCGGCGCCCTTCACTGGGCTGCATGGCCTCCTGGATCCCCTTCTCCTGCTGCCTTGGCTCCCTTTCCTGGGCCACTCCTCAGAACAGTCTTGCTTATGAGTGAGGAAGAGCCTGGGGGTTGATTGATTCAACCCCCTCTTTAATCCAAGGGGAAGCACAGCCAGTGCTTTGGCCAGGGTAGCTTAGGCCGAAGCCCACAGCTGCTCCTCACTCTTACGTGGCCTTCTTGGAGCTCTGCCTTTCCCCAAACCAACAGTCCTTCAGACTTGTGTAGTATGGGGCCTGACATCCTAACACTGTAGTGTGGGTTTCCAACTGGCCCTGAGTACTGACAACTGACCTTCCCAGCCCTCTGCCGACTCCCTGTGCTCCCCCCCCCCCCCCCGAGGAAGGGCTGATTTGCTATTTTGTGCTTCCCTCTGGTGGCAGTTTGTGGGAATGGCTGAGGGAAGTCTTGGGGCAGGCAGAGGTCGGAGTCAGTGGTGGAGACCATGGTAGACCTGGAGATTTCATCTAAGAGAAAGAGGCTCGCCCTCCTGGGTTTTACTACAGTCTGGGCACAGAACAAGGAGATTTATGTCCATGTTCCTTTGATCTTCTAGGCTCGGGGAAGGAGAAACCAAAGCTTAGAAGTTTAAAACAAACTTGCCAAGATGACATAGCTCTCTGCGCATTAGTAAAGCGGGATTTCCAGCCTCTGTCTGCTCCACTCCAGGAAGAGGCAAAGACAAAAACAGCGGTCGGTCGGTGTACAGGAGGCAGCGGCAGGCAGGTGCCTGGGAGTTCCAGGCCAACCTGCTCTACACAGCAGCTTCCAGGCTAGCCAGGGCTACACAGGGAGATCCTGTCAGATGAGAGACGGACCTAGCCTAGCCTGAGCTGCTAGTGTAGAGGGATTGGCTGGTGGTCCCAGTACTTGGAAGACGGGAGCAGGAGACTCACCAAGAGTAACAGAATAAAACAAAAACAGCCAAACCTGAAAAAAGTTACAAGACAGCCTGGGCTGCAGAGTGAGACCCTACCTCAACACACGTGCACGCGCGCGCGCACACGCACACACGCGCGCACACACACACACACACCACACCATACAAACAAAACAAAACAGAAAATGAAGAAAAGTGTGAAAGGCACTAAGTTGGGATGATGTCCTGGTATGAAAACTCCTGACTGAGGGCCATAGACCTGGTCAAGGGACTGTGGGCTAACTGTGGACAGTGCAGATTAAAACAGAGTGAGACAGGGGGCTTTGGGGTGTGTGCTTTTGATTTGCTCTCTCTGCTACGAATTTACACAGACACCTTGGTAAATTCTGCCCCTAGGGACTGGAGCTACAGCTCAGTGGTTGTCTAGCATTTCAGAGGCTCTGTGCTCCATCCTCAGCATTGAAAAGAAAAGAAATACCCAAGCATTGACTTCTTCACACCCCTCTCCTAGCTATGCCCTGGCAGGCAGATTCCTGGGAGTTCCAGGCCAACCTGGTCTGTACAGCAGGTTGCAGGCTAGCCAGGGCTACACAGGGAGATCCTGTCAGATGAGAGACGGACCTAGACTAGCCTGAGCCCACAAACACGTTTGCCCAGTACGGTGTTGCCAGCAGAAGATACTATCTCCTTAAATTGTAGTCTGAATTGTCAGTGAAAAGGCAACCCATTTCAGTCCAGCGAGATGGCTCAGTACGTGAAGGTGCTTGTTGTCAAGCTTGATGACCGAGTCCAATCCCTGGAAGCCACATGGAGGAAGGAGAGAACCAACTCCTGCAAGGTGTCCTCTGGCCTCCACATATGAGGCATGGCATGTGCACCCCCTCCAACTAAATGGAAACAACTCTGAACATAAAAACTATTAGCTGATTTCACATAAGCACTTGGCTGCTGGCACTTGGGAGACGGAGACAGGAAAATCCCTGGTCTGAGGCTGGGTTGTGCTACAAAGCGAAGCTGAAGCTCCATCTCAGGGAGAAAAGACTGGGATGCAGTCAGATGTGAGCACCTGCCTGCCTCACACAGGTCCTGGCTTGGGCTCACATGTTGGCTCTGTGATGCCTTGCTGGAGCCAGGCCACCTCTGATTTCACTGGGTGTCCTGTGAGTCCATGGCCCCTAGACTCTCATTCACATGATCCACGTATGTCTCCGTGGAAAAAAGAATTGTTCTTAAACCCATTTCCAAATGAGGGACCTGAACCCTGGAGAGTCAGTGACTTGCGAAACCCAGCCCCACCCACACTCCATGCATCCTCCTCTGAGTCCACTCCAGCTCCTCGAGGTGACCCCAGGAAAGGTAGCCCACCTTCCCATCTTACTTTGACGCCACCAAAACAGCCTCTTGCCTCTCCATCTGCAGGTTGGTTTGGTTCTGAAGCCCCCAACAGAGGCCAGCAAAGCACAGCGGGAAGAAAGCACACCCCAGCAGGAAGAGCAGAGCCATGTCTGTGTGCAGGACAGAAAATACGGCCATGAAAACAACACTCCAGACACGTCCCCCCACCCCCCAACTACGGTCACTGCAGAGACACAATGGCCCATGAGACGAGCTCCTCTGTAGTCACTGAATCACCAGGCATACCTGTAGTCTAATTTCTTTTGGACCCTTAGTGTGCTTTTTGTTTTATCTAAGACTTTCCACGTAGGCTGGCTTTGAACTCCTAATCATCCTGTCTCAGCTACCTAAGATCTGAGAGTGCAAACCTGTACCACCACTCTTGGCCTTTATTCCACTTTCACATTTATCCAGGGCAACTGGACCTACTACGTGTTTGATTTGTGTGTTTGTTCCTTGGAGGTAGGGTCTCATGTAGCTCAGGCTAGCCCTGAAATTGCTATGTAGTCCAAGCTGGTCTTGAACTCCTTGTACTCCACATCCACTTCCTCAATGCTGTGGTTAAGGTGTGCATCAACACACCTTACTGCTTTAAGCCCAGTTCAGATTATTTCAGTTTTTCCTATAACCCTGGAGCTGGTGTATACACTCCCAGAACTTATTACATTTTAGCTTTTCATGGTAGCACAGAGCAGCAATCCCAGAACTCGGGGGAGGGGGGGGGCTGAGGAAGAAGAATCACAAGTTGGGGAGCATCATGGGCTACATAGCAAGACCCTGTCCCCAGAAACAAAGCAGAGGGCGGGAGAGATGGTTGTGGTTAAGAGCACTGGCTGCTCTTGCAAAGGACCTGGGTTTGATTCCCAGCACCCTTGTGGTGGCTCACAGCAGCTGTAACTCCAGTTACAAGGGACCTCTTCTGGCCTCCTTGGGCACTGCATGTACATGCAAGCAAAACACACCCAAATACATAAAATAATTTTTTTCAGACAGGGTCTCTCTCTGTAGCCTGGCTGTCCTGGAACTCACTACATAGACCAGGCTGGCCTCAAAATTACACAGAGATCTGCCTGCCTCTGCCTCCCAGTGCTGGGATTAAAGGCCTACACCACCATGATTGGCTAATAAATCTTAAAAAAAAAAAAAAAAAAAAGGGCACTTGCCTAGCATGTGTGAGGCCCTGGGTTCAATCTTTTGGACGCACACACAGGGGTGGGCTGAGAGGAAGCGGGAAGTGAGGCAGGGAAGAAAATAAAAAAAAAAGAGAAAACTCCACAACCAATCCCTCTTTCCCTTCACCTAACGGTGCACGCGTTTCTCAGCACTAGCCCAGCCCAGCCTCTGCAGATACACACCCAGGTCTGCCTTGTCTGTCTCTCAGACTCGTCACCGGCCTCACCTCTCTGGGACGAAAGTGGGAGGGCAGGGGAGAGGCTGATGTTTCTCCTCAGCCACAAGCTTGGAAAGAGGAAGGGAGGGGGTGTTCAGATTGTCAAAATACTTGGAATTTTAAAACAACACGAAAAGAAGGAAACTTTTGAAAGATTATTATCCCATAAAAATAAAAAAGAAATAGAAACCCTGGAATGCACATCTTTATATATTATTTTTGCCTGAAAAAGCCAAGGAGGAGAGGAGTCGAGGAGGCCGGGAGCCATGGAGGGAGTTGTACCCTGCCATCCTGCATCCTTTGGGTGGCTTTCAAGTGTCCTTCCCACCACAGAAGGAAGGTGCGAGATTGCCCCCCAGGGGCAGTTAGCCAGGCAGGAACACCAGCCTCCCATTGGTGCGCTGGTCACTCTGCGGCCCTTCCATTGGCCAGTCTCTGGACACAGTGCCCTCTCATTCGTTTCTGTTCTTGAGGAAAGGGGTGAGGTGTTCTGTTGCCTTAGGTTGAACTGACCAATTAGAATTTGTTGATGATTTGATAGACAGTTACATTTCAGGGGCTGAGCAAGAAAGCAAGAGCAGAGATCCGTCCCGGCAAGTCACCGATTTGGAAAGCTGCAACACCTGATAAAGTTGACAATTTCAGGGTTGGGAGGGTCTGCATCTCAAAATCAGATGCTACAGGTAATCAGAGAACGTGTAACGTGGCGGGGTGGTGTGCCCAAGTCCCATGTAGTCATAATACTTTTTTTTTTTGAGACATGGTTGCTCTTGTAGCCCAGGTTGGCCTTGAACTCATTGTATGGCTAAAAATGAACTTTTGTTTTGTTTTGTTTTTGTTTTTGTTTTTGTTTTTCTAGACAGGGTCTCTCTGTAGCTTTGGAACCTGTCCCGGAACTCACTTTATAGACCAGGCTGGCCTAGAACTCACAGAGATCCGCCTGTCTCTGCCTCCGGAGTGCTGGGATTAAAGGTCTGAGCCACCACCACCTGGCTGGCCTTGAACTCCTGATCCTCTTGCTTCCACCTCCCAAGTGCTAAGATTACCGAAGGACATTACTATATCTGGCCTTATACAGCATAGAACCCAGGACTTAACGCATGCCTGGCAAAGCACGTTACGACTGAACTACATCTCCAGCACCCAAGACCCTGTCTCTCAAAGTAAAAGTAGGATCTGGAAACATGACTCAGTGGTAGAACCCTTCCTAATATTCGTAAGACTCTATGTTCTCTCTACCAAAGGAGAAAACCAACAAATAAAACACATGCACCTGCTGTAGTTCCAAAACTTAGAGCGCTGAAGCAGCAGATCACAAATTCTAGGCTAGCCTGTGCTACGGAGAAACCCTGCCCCCAAAACCCTCAAGCCAAACCAGACCGACCAGGGTTGGGGGTTGGGGGGGGGTAGTAAGCAGCCTGCTGCGTGGCTTCATCGTTGTGATGTGACTGACTAAAACCCACAAGAGCATTTAGCTTGGGGAAAGGTGTGAGCAGGAGATCCCAGAGAACCCTCTGAAGTGTGGGAATGCAATGTGTACATGTGGGTGTATGATTAGACACCACTAAACATTTGTTTGTTTGTTTGTTTGTTTCTGATTTTTCAAGACACGGTCTCACTCTGTAGCTCTGGCTGGCCTGGAACTCACAGAGATCCACCTGCCTCAGCCTCCCAAGTGCTGGGATTAAAGGTGAGCTCCCCAACCGCCAGTGATTTGTTGGTTTCTATAATATTATTCAGATGTAGAAGACAGAGTCTGAAGGAATGGAAAGGGGGTTTGTTTGCTGGCTTGTTTTTGATGTTTGGGTCCTGGTGACTGAACCCATGACAGAGCCGTCTCAGTGCCCTGGGACAGCTGTTTTCTTCCGGACATGTAGCTTACCCTGAAATGTAGGGCCAGGAGCTGGGGTGGTCAGAACCTGAGTTTCACTGGAACCTTCTAGACTCTTCTACAGTTCTTTCTTTCATTGTCAGAGTCTTCTTGTCTTCACTGAACAGCCCGCAGGTGCACAGCGGTGTCTGAGATGTGAAAGACAGGGGAACACAAAGCTCACTACAGTTTCAGTGACCACAGAAATAGGTTTCATGATGCAGTTCTCTACCCATGTGCTCTGCTGCCAGATTACCCCCAGTCCAGTTAACTTTCTCACAGTACCGATGTCCCTTCTGTGCCGTGTACTGGGATTTTTTTTTCCTACAGTCCCTGCCAAATACAGTTCATGATTTTGCAACCTACCAGTGGGTAATGACCCACTTAGGAAAATCTGGGCTTATTGCAATCCTCAACATTTTTTTTTTCATAACTACACCCCTAAGGTGCCTTTCATACTTTCCCCTAATCTATGCCTATAAGGAATTTTTTTAAAAAGACTTATTTATTTATTTAATGTACATTTGGGTTTTGCCTGCATGTGTGTCTGTATGAGGGAGTCAGAGGCCCTGTCACTGGACTTTCATAAAGTTGTGAACTGACATGTGGGTGCTGGGAATTGAACCTGGGTCCTTTAGAAGAGCAGCCAGTGCTCTTAACTGCTGAGCCATCTCTCCAGCCCCAAGGAAAATTTAAAAGCATATGTATACTGTATATCTGTTTATATGTATGTGTGTACTTCAAAAAAGATTAAATCGGCTTTTTTGTACACGAAGAATCAAGTTTCACCGAGTGTGGTGGTTCACCGCTGTGGTCCGGAACACTGAGAAGACTGAGACAGGAGCATTGAAAGGTTGATACCAGCCTGGGTCACATAGTGAGAACTTGTCTCAGAAACACAAGGGCCAGTGAGATGGCTCAGTGGATAAAACGGTTTTGCCACGAAAGCCTCGTGACCTTATTTGATCCTCAGAACCGATGTAAAATAGAAGAAAAGAGGTAACCCCATCGTGCTGTTCCCTGATGCCACCATGGCATGAGTGTCCACAGTAATAACCAATAAAAGCAAATTTGTTAAAAAGAACCAACTGGGTGGTGGCGCACACCTTTAATTCCAGCACTCGGGAGGCAGAGGCAGGTGAATCTCTGTGAGTTTAAGGCCAGCCTGGTCTACAGAGTGAGTTCCAGGACAGGCTCCAAAAGTTACACAGAGAAACCCTGTCTCGAAAACAAACAAACAAACAAAACAACAACAACAAAAGAACCTAAAGAAAATAGCTAGAGAGGGAGGGGGAAGGGGAGGAGTAAACGAGGGTGAATATGATCAAAGATTCTAAGTGACATGCAGATACGTGTGAAACCCATCACTACCTACAGTGAATACATGCCGGTAAAAAACCAGAGCCTTTTCACGGAGACACTGCTGCCCATTGAAACACACAGGACACCACCATGACGCTCGGGTTCTGAGCCACTCATGGTCCTGACAATATCGGTTCAAGCTGGGTGGCTTATATCCCCAGCACAGGGGAGGCTGAGGAAAGAGGATTGTCATGAGTTTCAGGCCACTGTTTGAGACATAGTTGGATCCAGGTCAGTCTGTGCTGCAGATTGAGACTCTGTCCTCTTCCTAAGTAAATAACAAAGAAATAAGCAATACACACAACTTTAATCCCAGCGCTCAGGACCCAAGATGTTTGTTTGCTTACTTGCTTTATTCCTTCCTCTCCTTTTAACCTTTACTGGATGCCAGGCATAATCTAAATTCTTAAATATGGAAGCTGGAGAGATGGCTCAGTAGTTAAGGGCACTGACTGCATTTCCAGAGGACTGGGTTCAACTCCCAGCGCCCACATGGCAGCTAATAACTGTCTCCAACTCAAGATCTGACACCCTCACACAGACATACATGCAGGCAAAATACCAATGCAATTTTTTAAAAAAAATTCTTAAATATGTATCTACTGTCCTAACAGTTCCCCCAGAGAGATGCTCCCCCATCCTCTGCACAGAAAAGCTGTGTGACGTGCTCCAGGTTGTGTGTTTATTACTAGTAAGTAGTTCCTGGCATAGCTGGGAGTTATTGTTTGTTTGGGGTAGGTTGTTCATTTTTGTTTTGTTTTAAGACAATTCCTGCCTGGAACTCATAGAAGTCTGCCTATCTCAGCTTCCCAGTGCCAGGATTAAAAGTATGTACTACTACACTTTACACTCCGTCTTTGGTTTTTGTTTGTTTGTTTTGTTTTAAGATTTATTTGTGTGGGTGCTGCAGAGATGGCTCAGTGGTTAAGAGCACTGGCTGCTCTTCCTGAGGAACCAGATTTGATTCCCAGCACTCACATGGCAGCTCACAACTGTCTGTGACTCCAGTTCTAGGGGATCTGGCATCCTCACACAGACATGCAGGCAAAACACCAATGCACATAAAATAAAAATAAATAAATTATTTAAAAAAAGAAACATTTCTTGGGAGGCAGAGGCAGGCAGATCTCTGTGAGTTCGAGGCCAGCTTGGTCTATAGAATGAGTTCCAGGACAGCCAGAGCTGTTACACAAAGAAACCCTATCTCAAAAAAAAAAAAAAAAAAGAGTGTGTGTGTGTGTGTGTGCGCGCGCGCGCGCGCGCGCGCGCGCGCAAGCCAATGTACAAGTCTTTATGCACCACATGAATATGTGCATGCAAGAGCCTGTAGATGCCAGACAGCGCCCCAGACCCCTGGGAACTGCACTTACAGGGGGTTGTGAGCCACCATTTTCTTCTTTGAGACAAAGTTGCAACTGTCTGTGATTGGCTTTGAACTTGCTATTTAGTAAATTCCAGATCTCTCTCATGTGTGCCAACAGGTCTGCCTTCACAGCTGGAGTCTGAGCCTCAGGCTGTGGATTCCGGAGTACAATCTTGTAACCTCCAAAGAGGAAGCTTTAACCCTGGTGAAATGTAATGACGGGCTGGAGAGATGGCTCAGCGGTTAGAGCGCAGGCTGCTTTTCCCAGGTCCTGGTTTCCAGCATCTGCACAGTGGCAGCTTACAACTGCCTGTAACTGCAGTTCCAAAGGACCCCATTCCCTCTTCCGGCCTCCACAGGCTCTGGGTACCAGGCAGTGCATATACATGTGGGCAAAATACCCATACCATAAAAATTGTAATAAACATATTTTAAAAATGGAATGCCAGGCCAGGCAGTGGTGGCACACGCTTTTGATCCCAGCACTTGGGAGGTAGAGGCAGGCGGATTTCTGACCAGCCTGGTCTGCAGAGAGAGTTCCAAGGCTGCACAGAAAATCCTTGTTCAAAAAACAAATCAAAACAAAAACATTGTAAGTGACAGGACTTGACTGTGCTGGCCAGAGTCCATCGCTGCTCTGTCCAATCTGGAAGCTAAAGAAAAGAAAACAGCTGGCAGTGGTGGCGGACACCTTAAATTCCAGCATTTGGGAGGCAGAGGCAGGAAGATCTCCAAGTTCGAGGCCAGCCTGGTCTACAGAGTGAGTTTCAGGACAGCCAGGGCTACACAAAGAAACCCTGTCTCAAAAAACCAAAAAAAAAAAAAAGATGAGGGACTGAATCTGGCAGTAGAGGTGCTGCTCAGGCCGTCGAAGAAAGAGGGTCACTCTAAGATGAATTTTAGACCCTCCGGCAGCAGCAGGGGGAACAGTTTCTGTGAACTGAACAGCGAACGGGCGTGCAAAGGCGTATTTATTGATTATTACACAAGGTGTTTTTGGGTCAAACAAGGTCCTCATACGAAGCCCCTGAGCTGACCTGTGTGTTTTGTGAAGGAAGACATCAGACCCTGCAACCTCAGTCTTCACTGTGTCCCGCTGGCAGTGCCCGATAAGGCAAGACCTCCAGGTGTGCCCTCATCGTCCTGTGACCAAAGCCATGCAAAGGCTGTAAAACTCCCCCAGAAAAACAGCTCTGCAGATAACAGGAAACAATCCCTTTTCTACAATGATTTCTTTAAGGTCAAAGTACTTCTAGGAAACAACTCTTCATTCTGATGTTTACCCTAGATACAGTGTAAACAGCTACTTCATTCTGATGTTTACCCTAGATACAATGATTCTACTCATTTTTCCTCTACGAAAGGGCAACTTCTTCTCGGCTACAGCAGAAGTGTGGAAAGGGGCCAGGGTGGTGGCTCACACCGGTAACCCCAGCCCTTGGCAGGCTGAGTGAACAAGATCGTTGTGGATTCAAAACCATCCCGGGCTACATAGCAAGACCCTGTCTCCAAACAAGAGAGAAGGAGAGGACAGGACGGGAGACACACAGTGGGTGAAAGCACTTGCCTCTGAAGCTACTGCCTGCTCTCCAGATCCCACACCCCGGTGAAAGAAGAGCATCGACCCCCCAAAGTTGTCCTCTGCCTTCCACACCATGGCACAGGCTCCTGTACACGCACACAAACCATACACGTACATGGTGACAATAACGTGGGTTTTGTTCTGTTCTGTTTTGTTTTTTTTAAAGGGCCTAAACAAGCAAAAGTGTAGAAAGGGAACTGGGAGAAAAATATTATATTTGAACAGGCATGTGTGTCTTGGAGTGTGTGTGTGTGTGTGTGTGTGTGTGTGTGTGTCTTGGAGTGTGTGTGTCTTGGAGTGTGTGTGTGTGTGTGTGTGTGT